CCCCCTCCCCCCAAAACACAGACACAAAGCCACTGCCACAGAGCGCCCCACAAAGCAAGGGGGATGAAGTGGGAAGGGGGCAGAAGCATGCCTCAGTTTCCCCTCACATACACACTTTTCATTGCTTCCAGGTGGAGAGAGGGGTCCTGTTGGCTCTGAGGACAGACTCATGGACTGTTGTGAGTGTCACTTGGCTGCCTCAGAACAAGCCATTAAGAAACTGGCTGAAACCGACCCAGATCAATCAGGAGTCCAGAGAAACAAGGACACACGACTCGCACAGCAGGGAAAGCCGCACACGGACACGTGTTCCCTCTAATCATCTCCATCTGTGGGCAGACTCTTTTTCCATCCACGTGCGGAATATTTTTTTTCCATGTGCCAAGGCATGCATGAGTGTACACCACCAATAGAAATACCAAACCTAGCTGCAGGGACTCTGCTAAAGTCAGCTGGGCAGCACTGGAAAGTCTCCTGAGCAGCCGCACAAGGGCCCAGCTTGCAGGGAACACCGCCTGGCAGAGACCCAAGGAGACGGGGCAGGGATGTGAGCGAGGACTTGAAGAAGCAGGTACTCTTGCACCCAGCTTCACTGCAGGACAGCTGGTGAATTCCATGGAGCTGACCTGAACAGACTCTGGGGTTTGGAACAGGTCCCATAAGAGGAGAGATTAAAGAGACTGGGACTTTTCAGCTTGGAAAAGAGGAGACTGAGGGGGGATAGGACAGAGGTCTATAAAGTCACGAGTGGTGTGGAGTCAGCGAATAAGGAAAAGTTATTGACTTGTTCCCATAATATAAGAACGAGGTTTAACACAAGTAAAAGGAAGTTCTTCCTCACACAGCGCAGAGTCAACCTGTGGAACTCCTTGCCGGAGGAGATTGTGAAGGCTAGGACTATAATAAGGTTTAAAAAAGAACTAGATAAATTCATGGAGGTGAAGTTCATTCATGGCTATTAGCCAGGATGGGTAAGGAACGGTGTCCCCAGCCTCTGTTTGGATGAAGATGGATGGCAGGAGAGAGCTCGCTTGATCATTACCTGTTCGGTTCCCTCCCTCTGGGGCACCTGGCATTGGCTAATCGGCAGACAGGAGACGGGGCTGGATGGACCTTTGGTCTGACCCAGTCTGGCCGTTCTTATGTTCTTCTCTGAGTTCCCCATAGCCAACTGGACCACCCCCCAGTACTCCTCAGGAACCTACTGTGCTGTGCAAATGTGGCCCAAGGTCTCTCCCTTAAGGAATCTGCTTCAGGGGACTTGCCGAGTGGAGCTCACAGGGCAAAGTGGGGGAGGGGGCTGCAGTCCAGCATGACCTGCCCTGAAGGCAGAGGGGTCCTAGGGGTCTGGCACACTGATAGGGCTGCTCCAGGGGTCCAATCAAAAGCTGGGGTGTCGCTCTGAGCCTGGACTAGCCAATATGGGCCAGACAATAACAGGCTGGTGGGACCTGCCGGCTGGCTCCTTGCAACACTCAGCAGGATGAGCTGTGAACTGGCAGGGACACATTACACCGGGGTAGGACCACGGGATCGGACTAGAGGATTTAGAGATGCCACAGGAGTAAAACACAAACCCAATAACCTGAACACTGGGCCCACCTTCTTATCCATCTACCCGCAGGTAGATCTGCAACTGGAAAGAAACATGGCCTAGCTGAAAGTTTGTCATTGGAAAAGGTTCAGGAAAGGGCAAGAAAAATGAAGAGGGGTTTGAACGGCTGCCATATGAAGAGAGATGAAAGACTGGGACTTTTCAGCGTAGAAGAGAGGAGACTAATGGGGGATAGGACAGAGGTCTGTAAAATCATGAGTGGCGTGGGGAAAGTGAATAAGGAAACGTTATTGACTTGTTCCCATCACCTAAGAACTAGGGGTCACCAAATGAAATGAATAAGCAGCAGGTTTAAAACAAAAGGAAGTTTTTTTTTTCCATGCACAGTCAACCTATGGAACTCCTTGCTGGAAGATGCTGTGAAGACCAGGACTTTTACAGGGTTCAAAAAAGAGCTAGATAAATTCATGGAGGTCAGGTCCATCAATAATTAATAGCCAGGATGGGTAGGAATGGTGTCCCTAGTCTCGGGGTGTCAGAAGCTGGGAAATGGGCGACAGGGGAGGGAGGGATCGCTTGATGATTCCCTGTTCCGTTCGCTCCCTCTGGGCACCTGGCATTGGCCACTGTCGGCCGACAGGACACTGGGCTAGAGAGGCCTTTGGTCTGACCCAGTCTGGCCATTCTGATGCAAATGCAAACAGATCTGCCCCTCGCGTCCTGGGGCAAAGTCAGCCCACGCTGCCCTCGCTCCCCTTCCCGCAGGAGCCTGTGCTGGCCCCTTGTGCAGAAGTGGACTTCACCCTGCGCCACGGGCCTGGTGCATGCTGGTTTTCAGGAGCTACCGGCTGGCGCCTAAGCCGCAGGCTTCGCTGTCCGGTCCCCGGTAGCCACACGCTCTAGCGTTCCCCGAGAGAGCCCGGCTCGAGTCAGCGCTGAGGTGAGAAGGCTCACGAGGCCGAAGCGATGAGAACATCACACGAGAGGTTAGAACATCCTGTTCTGCTGCCCCTGGGCCTTTCTGTGGCCGGCACACAGCAGCCCTATTGGCCCGCCCGTTCCCCGGCGGCGGGAGAGAGGCAGCGAACGCAGCAACGCCACCGCTCCTAGGCAGGGTTAGTCCGATACCCCAAGTGCACTACGTTTTCCAGTGAGGCCCCTGGAACACGCTACATGGCCAATCTGCAGAGCTCTTGGGGGGAGCCCCAGCCTCTTCTCCCCCCCCCCCCCCCCGGCGGCAGCTACTTCTCGGGGCGGCGGGTGCTTTTCCACCCGAGCACCCTGGGCTGGCCAGAGATCAGTAGCATTTCGGTTCATCAGCACAGAAAGCAAAAGTAAGCGTCTCGGGGGCGAGCCATTTCCTGCGCGGCTCAGCGCCAAGTACGTTTTGCAAAATCATTTCAGTTTTGAAACAAGCTGTCGCATCGTAGCCAGCCGCAGGCTCCCGAACCTCTAGCAGGCAGCCAGGCCGCCACGCCGCCTTTGCCGTTAGAACGGGAAAGGTCACCGAGGAGCTGGCATCTTCCCCGGGGGTGGAATTAAGCGCTCTCCTTTGGGGAGCGCGAAACCCGACTGCTGAGCACGTCCGCTTATTAAACACCACCATGCCACAGGGAGCAAGCGAAACGCCACTGCAGCCAGTTGGCAACGCAACCGAAGAGCGTGCTTGCCCCCTTTGTAGCGCCATGAAGTGTCTCCCGTATGGTAAGAACCTGCGGAGGGGAACGGCACGCCCCCCCCACCACACACACACACACACACACACACCCCCCTCAGCAAGGCCTGGCTGCCATACCCGACACGGGATTTGCCCAGACACCAACTCTGGCTCGGGCTGAGCCTACCCAACCAAGAGCCACGCGTGCTCCTGAGGGCGAGGAGGCTGGCGGCAGACACGCGAGCTCACGTTTCCAGTGCATGGAACAGAACAGCTGCAGCCGGTTGGGGTTGGCGGGCCAGAGGCCGCCACGGCCTTCCACGGGCACGCAGCACTTCTGAGGAAAACCCCGGCTGCTTGGGAGGCGTCTCACTTGGAGTGCCCAATTCAGCAAAGCCCGTAAGGATATGCACGCCTTCCCTCCATTCCCCAAGCAAAGACCCAGGCACCCCCCCATTCCCAAGCAGCAGCTGGCATGGGGGCCCCCCCCATTCCCAAACAG